CTGAATGGGTCTTGGCCCTTCTGTTCCCGAAACTCCTTATTTTAACCCAATGTTTTTAGTATCCATCAAAACCTAAAGGTATATTCCCTAGAGTCCAATTTCCTCTCTCCGCCTCCTGGGGCCTTTAATAATATCATTTTCCATCGTGATTGTTGAGTATCGAGTTCTATAGGACGTTATTCTGTCATCATATTTACCTATCTCTATTTTGGGTAACTATCGTCGGCTTCCTTGTCATTATCCTATTCCAAGGATAGACAAAGGTATATGGGGGAACTACCCCTAGTTTGCAGGTTGTTTAAATGGAATCCGTCATGTACAACGTTTTGGGGACAACGAGAACTGAAATTTGGAGTGAAGAAGAGGAAACTATTACCTATTTTATTAGGCAGTATATAGTAGAGTGCTCCTTTTAATATATTTTGACTTTTGTGGGCGCGTCGGAGTTACAAGCTGAAATTTTCACAGAATGAAGATTTTATTAAGTATGTTTATTCAAAATCCCAAGGTAATACAAAATCAGAACGGGCAAAAGGGCACTATAATTAAAAATTGAGATTATTGCATGAACGTATAGAATATTAATTTATGACTGTTTTCATCCATTTCCTGATTGTAGATTAATCGAAAAAGTGGGTTAAAATTGGTGGAAAACAACCGTGATATCAATTCCAAATGACCATTTTAAGCAGACTCAAAAATAAAAAGAAAATCCTATTTTTTCTGGAAAGTTTTCAAAATCCTGACATGGTCATGAACAATTACCCATATCTTTGGTAAATTTTGAGCAAATTGAAATAAATTATACATCATTGGAAAGAGCCTTAACTTCACTATAAATCTGTGCAAAATTAAGCTCGATAGCTCGGATAGTTTTTGAGCAATTCAGCCTCAAAGTTGACTTTTAGTCCAAATTTTGTCAAAAACTACAAACTCAATTTGCTCAAAAGCTAGAAATCTGGAAGTATTGTAAATTACAGGGCATTTAGAACTTGATAAAGCTACAAATTCTGGAAATTTTAATGCAATTTGCTCAACGGTTACCGAGCAATTGAGGTTTGAATATTTTGAAATCAGAATTCAAACCCTTATGAAAAATTCGATTTTTTTATTTTTCAGTTTTGCTCAATTTTGACTTTATGAATCGATAGAGCCGTTGAAAATTAGTGGAAAACAACCCTGATATCAATTCCAAATGGCCATTTTAGGCAGACACAAAATTAAAAATAAAATCCTATTTTTGGCTCCGGAAAATTTTCAAAATCCTGACATTGTCATGAACAATTGCCCATATCTTTGGTAAATTTTGAGCAAATGGAAATAAATTATACATTATTGGAAGGAGCCTTAAATTCTCTATAAATCTGTGTAAAATTGAGTTCGATACCTTGGATAGTTTTTGAGCAATTGTGTCTCAAAGTTGACTTTTAGTTCAAATTTTGTCAAAAATTTTAAACTCGAATTTGCTCAGAAACTAGAAATCTGGAAATATTGTAAACTACAGGCATTTTAGAACTTGATAAAAGCTACAAATTCTGGAAATTTTATTGCTATTTGCTCAACGGTTACCGAGCAATTGAGGTTTGAATATTTTGAAATCAGAATTCAAGAGGGGTACCCAAGGGGTACCCTTATGAAAAATTCGATTTTTTAATTTTTTAATTTTGCTCAATTTTGACTTTATGAATCGATATAGCCGTTGAAAATTAGTGAAAAACAACCCTGATATCAATTCCAAATAGCCATTCTAAGCACACACAAAAATAAAAAGAAAACCCTACTTTTGGCTCCGGAAAATTTTCAAAATCCTGACATTGTCATGAACAATTGCCCATATCTTTGGTAAATTTTGAGCAAATTGAAATAAATTATACATCGTTGGAAAGAGCCTTAAATTCACTATAAATCTGTGCAAAATTGAGCTCGATAGCTCGGATAGTTTTTGAGCAATTGAGCTTCAAGGTTGACTTTTAGTCCAAATTTTGTCAAAAACTTCAAACTCAATTTGCTCAAAAACTAGTAATCTGGAAATATTGTAAATCACAGGCCATTTAGAACTTGATATAAGCTACAAATTCTGGATATTTTAATGCAATTTGCTCAACGGTTACCGAGCAATTGAGGTTTGAATATTTTGAAATCAGAATTCAAAGGGGGTACCCTTATGAAAAATTCGATTTTTTCATTTTTCAGTTTTGCTCAATTTTGACTTCATGAATCGATAGAGCGGGTCAAAATTAGTGGAAAACAACCGTGATATCAATTCCGAATAGCCATTTTAGGCAGACACAAAAAAAAAAAAGAAAATCCTATTTTTGGCTCTGGAAAATTTTCAAAATCCTGACATTGTCATGAACAAGTGCCCATATCTCTGGTAAATTTTGAGCAAATTGAAATAAATTATACATCATTGGAAAGAGCCTTAAATTCTCTATATTTATGTGCAAAATTGAGCTTGATAGCTCGGATATTTTTTGAGCAATTGAGCCTCAAAGTTGTCTTTTAGTCCAAATTTTGTCAAAAATTTTAAACTCAATTTGCTCAGAAACTAGAAATCCTGGAAATATTGTAAATTACAGGCAATTTAGAACTTGATAAAAGCTACAAATTCTGGAAATTTTGATGCAATTTGCTCAACGGTTACCGAGCAATTGAGGTTTAAATATTTTGAAATCAGAATTCAAAGGGGGTAAATCTAAGGGTATCCTTATGAAAAATTCGATTTTTTTATTTTTTAGTTTTGCTCAATTTTGACTTTATGAATCGATAGAGCCGTTGAAAATTAGTGGAAAACAACCCTGATATCAATTCCAAATGGCTATTTTAAGCAGACACAAAAATAAAAAGAAAATCCTACTTTTGTCTCCGGAAAATTTTCAAAATCTTGACATTGTCATGTCATGAACAATTGCCCATATCTTTGGTAAATTCTGAGCAAATTGAAATAAATTATACATCATTGGAAAGAGCCTTAAATTCTCTATAAATACGTGCAAAATTGAGCTCGATAGCTTGGATAGTTTTTGAGCAATTGAGCTTCAAATTTAACTTTTAGTCCAAATTTTGTCAAAAACTTTAAACTCAATTTGCTCAAAAACTAGAAATCTGGAAAAATTGTAAATTATAGGCCATTTAGAACTTGATAAAAGCTACAAATTTCTGGAAATTTGATGAAATTTGCTCAACGGTTACCGAGCAATTGAGGTTTGAATATTTTGAAATCAGAATGCAAAGGGGGTAACCCTTATGAAAAATTCGATTTTTTTATTTTTTAGTTTTGCTCAATTTTGACTTTATGAATCGATAGAGCGGGTCAAAATTAGTGGAAAACAATCCTGATATAAATTTCAAATGGCCATTTTAAGCAGACACAAAAATAAAAAGAAAATCCTATTTTTGGCTCTGGAAAATTTTCAAAATACTGACATGGTCGTGAACAATTGCCCATATCTTTGGTAAATTTTGAGCAAATTGAAATAAATTATACAGCATTGGAAAGAGCCTTGAATTCACTATAAATCTGTGCAAAATAGTGCTCGATAGCACGGATAGTTTTTGAGAAATTGAGCCTCAAATTTGACCTTTAGTCCAAATTTTGTCAAAAACATCAAACTCAATTTGCTCAAAAACTAGAAATCTGGAAAAATTGTAAATTATAGGCCATTTAGAACTTGATAAAAGCTACAAATTCTGGAAATTTAGATGCAATTTGCTTAACGGTTACTGAGCAATTGAGGTTTGGATATTTTGCTGCCTTGGGCACTCATCTACTAATATGAAAACTTTCTGTAGGTATTTAATTTTCACACCTTTGCTGTATAGGTATTGTTTCCGCGACTCAAACAACCTGTTCACGGGCAAAACATGAAGCAATCTCTTAGTAGGTATTGTAATGGTTTTTTTTCCAGTGCACTCAGTTCGTCATCGTTTCCGTAACCTTGAGCTTTTACGTGTCTTTGTAATATAAATAAAATCTTCACTGTAATTTTCTTTTGTAGGTAAATAAATGGGATTTTTAAAGTAAGTAATGTTTGTTGTTCCGTGGACAAGGTCGTATTTCATGTCTATTGTTCTAAGGACTTTGTTTCATGTAAATGAACAATCCCTTCAAAGTTTAGAATTAGAAATTGAATATTGAGACTACATAGTTTCAGCTGTGGTTTCAGTTTGTGTTACTTCGAGTATTTCATTCAATTAGTCTTCAACAAAGCTAATCTGATATTCATTTGTTAGATACCTACCTACTCCCTTAGTTTCAGATTACATTAGTTTGTATAAATATTTTATACAATTTTAAACCTTATTTTCATTTAAAATCATACGGTTTGTACAAAATAATTAATGTACCTATTTGAAATTAAGTGTAGGAATAATAAACCCACTTAAAATCAACAAAGAACAAAATGTACTATGAATAAAGATAGAACAGAATTCCTACTTCCAGTTAGAATTTTTGGAAAATACTATCTTTAGGAAGCACCTACAAAATAGGTGGGAAAAATTAGAAATTTCACTAATTAAGTTTTTACCTACCACAGTTCTAATACGTGACTTTGGCTGAGCAAGGGACTGGACTATGAAAGGTCTGTCCGTTCGCCAGATCTCTTCCTATAGGATTTTTATGTATGGTATATGTGGACATTCAATGACGAAAGTCTACGCACCTAAACAGCACGAATCGTTAGAAGATATGAAGTTTATCACAAACTTCACAAAATGTTAGAGAACATTTCCAATTAAATGCCTCTCATACTGTTTGGGAGTTGAAATAACATACAAGAAGTAACATATTGTTCTGCAGTAGGTACTTTCAGGAATGACACTGCCTTATGCGACTCTCATTATCTTACGGAAATTTCATTGAAATGCCTTGTATGGTTTTTCAATGTCGCAAAAACAGCATAAAAACAGCAAAATATTTGTTGATATAAACAAAAGCAGTTTTCGCCATAAAAATGCCATATCTTAATATACTTAAGTTCCATTGATTTGATATTTACCATTATGCAGTTGTTTTACGGGTAACGGTGATGACTTGACTCCGTCCCACGAGCATATCGTAAAAACCCAACACACCAGCAGCCACCAGCACGTTAAATCCTTTGGAACCATTTTCGAGGTGCGGACAACGAGTAGGAATGGTACCTTCTCAGCGCTGTCCGCATTTTCAAAACGATTTTATTGTCCGGGAAAACGATGGCAAAAATCACGCATATTTCGTAGAATTAAAAAAAAACAAAAACACTGAGTTTTCGTGTTGTCTTACGACGAATTTCCCTTCTCGCGAACGAGACGGTGCGACACCGAAGGCCGTGGAAAGTTGACTGAGAAACGCGATTTCGCGAGTCCGTGTGTTGTTCTTCGGATTGTTGTTGCGCGGCACGGCTCAGGAGGACCGCGGTAGGTATTTTGGGTTGCGTACCTTGATGGACGTCAGGGGCAAAACATCGAGAAGAGTTCTTGTTTAAGGGAATTTCTTACCAGAAATAGCTTAATAGTTTCAGACATGGCTTTATATTATCTGATATTATTGACTAAGCCGCATACTATTGAAATTTCGGGCCCTCTTATGAGCTGGAATGAGAGCTACCTCTGAGAAATCGGCGCACAGTGCTGCGGTTTTGAATTCTAGCGGGACAAAACCTCAGGAGCATTTTTTGGGAACTAAATACTGTATTATAGTATTCATAAATATTTTTGTAGCCTGCTTAGACTTTTTTTTTTTTTTTTTGTTATCGAGTTAGTCTATTTGTTAAATCTACCTGGACTAAAATGTTTTTTTTTCTATAATTTCACTAAAAAAAAAAGGCTACAGTTTTTGTGACTAGCTGCAGATATTTCATTGAAACGGGCAAGACGAAAAAAAAATGGATTTCATTTTCTTTACATTTATTTTATTGTGCTTGAAAGAGCTACAGCAGCATGGAAAGACAAAGTGTTAGAGAACACATGATGAACCTGTTCGACGTGCATTTTAGACCAGCACTGCAAAGCCTGAGCCCAGACGCGTTGCGGGTTCTGATTTTTGGGCTGGATGCAATTACCAATGCAACTAACAGACAGCAGGTGCGCCAAGAAATTGCGACTTTTCTTGAAGACATAACAAATTCAGGAGAAGCAGTTGGGGTCCTGAGTCAAGGAACGCAAGAAAGGACACCACGACAAAATATAGAGGAATAATTAAATGATTGCAATAATAATTATTGTAAAAATTCTGTATTTTGATTGTGTTGAATATAAAAACTATTAAAAATTATTATAATAACTCTACCCATTCCAATAAAGCAATAAAATTTTCATAAAAAAATAAGATGTTATTTTCAGAGAGGCATCAAAAGTACTAAGTTACCTATGTGAAAGAACAGAAAAATGAAAAAAAAATTGAAAATTAAAAATTTACGCGCTAATTTATTTTTCAATGTATGCAAAAAAAAAAGAAAAACTTATTCAAACCTATCCTGTTAGTCTACCTCACATTTTAAAAGCGAGCGAACATCTTCACTAAACATGTCTCTATTTTTGGATGGAAGAATCCTGAGACTAGTTAAAAAGGGGTCCGAGGTGGCTAGAAGAACATGAAACAAATCTTCCATGGTTTTTGTACGACATAATTTTCTAGTATTGTGCTCTCTGAATGCTTTTACTTCCTTATGTCTAGCCTCCTGAGCATCTTCCGATAACTGTCAAATAGGTAATAGGAAATGTTTGGATGATGGCAGTTGAATGGAGTAAAATTTTATGGATAGATGGAGGCATTGGATACCAAGGATAAAGGCTTACATACATTTTTTGGTCTTTTATTTTTTACTTTTTATTTTTTTTTTGTTTAATTTTTTTGTTTTATTTTTCTTTTGTTTCCTTATTTTATTTATTTTTAGTTTCCGTACAACAAATTAATTTTTTTTCTTGTAATGGTTAGTAAAATTATCTATATATTTACTTGGTTACCTATATAATTTAGTTTTGCTTGTTGTCACTTAGCATGGTTGTTGTTATTATTTATATTATATTATTAGATGCTCAAGGTGGTTATATGGAAGAGCGCTACTAAGCGAATATCGCCACCTGGTATTACTATATTCTCTTGTAATGAAACTTTGTGTACACCTAAATAAAGACATTTTCAATTCAATTCAATTCAATTTTAGCTGTTTCTAAGGCGTACGTTTCAAAATGTTCTGTGTCTATCTGAAAATCAGAATTTAAAGCCCGCAACAAAACGCCGAACCTGTGTATCAAATTTGCATCAATACCCGTTATATTGCTCGCCAACTGAGGATCGTGGAAAAATCTGCGGGAAGTATTACCATCATTGGAGGAACCAAATCCTTGTTTTGGAACATCTACCAAAAGACCGGTTTTTTTTCGAAAGTCATCAATAATTCTCTTCTTTCTTGCTTCCATTAGGGGTTTCGATTCTTTGGTAGTTCTCCAAGTAGCAAAATCTAAGCGATAAGCAATGTGCAATAGACATTCAAATGCTCTGATGTAAGCGTGAAGTGGAGATAATCCAAAATTTAGTGCAGCTGTATCATAATTTTGAAACTTTGCATTTTCTAATACATTAAAGTATTTTGGTCCAGCCTTACATATGTAACATTTTTGAGACGAACTTTCCATTAGGGTATTGCACACCTTGCCATCTACCATGGTACAATACATAATATAATGGATCAGGAATTGCTTATTGTCAATTGAAATCTGTGTAGGACTTAGTTCATCGATTTCTTTCTGAACCTTCGAAAATTCACTTTTGATTAGCTCTTCGGTTTCTTTTGCATACTGAAGTCTTAGCGGTCGACAATATCGGGTCGATGATAGTCTCGGGTTTTTCCACAAAACAATATTCTGATTATTATTTTCGCAAACTAAACGCAGTGGAACTATGGATGTTGTTATAATGCTGGTGTCATCAAAAACTTCTGTCTCATATGGTTGCTTGAAAGCAGTTTTGCCACCACTACCATCTGCCCCGTATTTGAAAAAAAAAATCAGATTCACGGGATTATCGTTGAATTTTAGAGCAAAAGAGGAAATCACTTCTTTTTGTACATGATTAATGAGTCTGTTTGCTGTGTGGTCCAATAGAGATTGTAGGCCAACTTCAGATTTTTTTTCACATATTGACAAGTTACTAGGGTAGCAGTCTTTTTTGACCAGAAGAATTTTATGGTAGCTAGGTAAAACGTTCTTGAGGCCTTTTCTCTTGAGAGAATTTCTTAGATATTGGTACTGTGCCTGGGATAGTTTAAGATCAAAAAACAGAGCAAGGGCTTCTTCCGATGAAAATTGACCATTTTCTACAGGTTCTGTTCTTCTTTCCAGTGTCTTTTTTATTTCCGTACTTTGAGATGGTGTTTCTGAAATTTTTTTAAAAATATATGCTGCATCTTTGCTACCACTGGCTCTGTAACTCATTTCGGCGGCGAGTGCTAACTCGTGTTTAGAGCGAGTCTCGAGGAGAGGTTTGATAATGCGTTGTTTTGTTTTTAAACTCGCTCTGTTAAACGGTATTTTAGGATGACCTCCGCTTGCTTTTTTTTCTTTTTCCCCAGTTATTATAACAGTTTGTTCCAGCCATACTGTATTGCTCTTTGTGAATTTTGATAAGCTGAACCCAGATTTTTTCCATTTACGATAAAGAACCACACCAAATATATAAAGTGATGACTTCAACTTCTTTTTTTCATTATTTGTCAACTCCTCCGTATTTAAAAAACTATTTACAAATTCGACTAAGGCATTTTGAGAAGCTTTTGTTGTGGGTTTAATAGCTCCTCGTGCTTTAAGCGCTTGAAAGAGTTCGTTGCGCGTGAATCGATGTTGCGCTCCTAAAAAATATATGTATTTGTAATCCAGGCGGTAACAGGCGGTAAATTTTTATGTGTACAAAGAAAGTAGAAGAATCATATAAAATAATAAGACCAATATGAGACAGTTACTAGGAGTTACTCAGAAGATATCGTCTGCAAGATTTTGTATTTTTGTAGTGCACACGTGCACACTATAAAACTTTGAGGTACTTGTAAGGCTATTGCGGAAGAGTCATTAATGAAATGAAACGAAAGTTACCAGTTTACAGAAAGACTTACCCTTAGCAATGTACAACATAATTTTTGTTTAGGTTTGACAACCACAAATAGATGTAATAAATTTTTGAAATACCAAATTTTTGCAAGTTTATGAAATCGCAAATTCACCCTACAAATAACAAATTTATTCATTTGCCATTGTGAGAATATGAATGGCAAATTTATTTTGCCTGCTTTTTTTTCTTATCTCGAATGTTTACTTATCGAACAAATGAAAAAAAATATGTTTTGTTTATTGTCCAAAAATTATTTTTGTCTTCGTAGATGTCTAATCTGAATCACTGTGCGGCGCCATCAGTGGTTAAACGTCCTTTAAGATTACCAGGGTTTCTACCAATGAAGTAGTAAGAAGGTTTAAAATGGCCCTTCGCCTATCTATTCAATACGTATATTTGCGACCAACATTAGAGTGAGAGAACGAGAGAGATCCCCGAGATTTTCTGCCCTGACTAACGCTATCTCAGTCAAGGTTAGAGTGAGAGATCCAAGAGCTATCTCATTCTGGAATAATTTGAGTTACGCATAAACCCTTTTCACGTGGCTCCGGTTTAACAAACCGCTCAAATTCGAGTGGTATCGATGGGTATCGATCAAGTCACTTTGTAACCGGGTTAGAGAACGGTCGGTATGTCATACTTGACATACCGCTACTAACCATTTTGTAACCCGGTTAGTTTAAACGGAGCCACGTGAAAAGGACTATAGCCTTCTTATTACTACTTCATCGGTTTCCATAAGGGCACATCAATTTTTTTATTTGCTTATTGATTCAAGTAATTTTTCGCTTCCCAGACAGTACATAAAGGCTTAAAGACGTATTTTTTAGGTCTGCATATTACGTCTGAAGACCAAAAAAAGACGTCTAGCAGACGTTGTTTTGAAAATATCCATAAAGATATCGTAAATTCACATCTTAAAGACAACTATTTCGTACAACCAGACCTAAAAGTGAATATTGGTTTATGTTTTGAAAAGAGATTCAAAAACATTAGACGTTAGACTTTAAGACATCTCGTTGAAGTCGTCTTAGTCCTAAAGACGACTTTAGGCAGACGTCTGAAATACTTCAATATATGTCTTTAAGAGACCTTAAAGACCTAAGCAAGACGTCTGAATGTCGTTTATGTGGCCATCTCAGGGACCGTCTTTGGGATGTGGAAAGTTCAAAACACTTCAACATTCAATAATTCAGAATTTCCAAATGAATTTTAGAACAATTCAGAAATTTGAAACCCATAGGACGCTAAAAAACACTTCAACACTCTCAGAATCTCCCAAAATTTTTAAAAGTGTCGGAATCTTAGAATTCAGATTAATAATTACAAAATGCCTCTCAAAAAGCTTTCAAGAGTGAATTTAAATTGCTGTAAAACTTTAGACCTTTAATAAGCATCCAGAACAGTTCAAATCCAAATCAGAATTTTCAGGAGCTTTTCGGAACAATTTAGAAACTTCAGAGTTATTTTAGAACAATAGGATTCAATTTAGAATTGGATGAAACCTTTTAGAATTGTTTTGAACCAATTTAGAACACTTTGGAGCTTTAATAGGGCTCTAAAATACTTAAAAACCTCGTCAGAATAATTTAGAAATTACACTTGTTCCAGAACTCTTCAAGCCAAGAAAACTTTAGAACTTCAATAAGCCATTTGGAACGTTCCAAAACACTTTAGGTATTATTATTTCAGAGAGCAGAGCAGAGATGCATTTAAACAAAAGTTATCGATATACAGGGTGTATCAGGTTTGACTACAAACATTTTAACACGTGAAAAATTACCAATGTGACAATAGCCGCTTGCCAACTAACCATTTTGAGCACGCAATCGACTGCGCTTCGAGAGCTGCTAATTTTTGCGTTTCAAACACAGAACACTGTGCTGCACCGTAGCACCGTGCTTGAAGCACAATTACAATGTCACATGGAAAGCTGCTAATATTGTACAGATATGTATGCTCCAAACTAAGATAAGAAGTAAACAAACCGTAGGTATAAATTCAAAAAAAGGGTTTCGTTTTGGTTTAATAATTCGTTTTCAAATAATGTAAATAATAATTTGCATTTTTATTACTTGTTATTGTGGTAAAA